CTATTTTAATCCTTTTGGTTTTCGTTGAAAACTGCAATTAATCAACAGGTTTACGGCCCTAGTGGAGAGAGATCCTGTGCAGGCAGCTGTTGATATCGGAAAAGTGTTAGACGTTCCACTGTGTAAAATTTCAGAAGATGCCCCGATGCGGTCGTATCCACCGACATATTCCCTGTTCTCTAGGCAATTCCTCCGTCGCCACGGCCGCGACCTCTTCTCCTGTGCCGCTTCCTGGTTCCTCGTCGACATTGCTTTTTACTCCAACAACCTCCTCCAATCCAGGGTTTATCACAACTTTATCAAGGAAGATGATCGCAGTGCCTATGAATTGGCTTTTCAAGTGGCCAAACTCCAAGCAATTGTGGCCGTCTGTTCTACCATTCCGGGGTACTGGGTCACCGTCTATTTCATCGATCGGATCGGAAGAGTGAAAATCCAAATGTTGGGTTTTTTAATGATGGCATTAGTTTATTTTGCAATTGGAATTCCCTACATACCCTATTGGCAACATGGCGAAGATAAGGTGAAAATAGGACTTATGATTCTGTACGGGGGAACCTTCTTTTTTGCCAATTTTGGACCCAACACAACCACGTTCATAGTTCCAGCGGAGCTGTTTCCGGCGAGATTCAGATCGACGTGTCACGGAATCTCCGGAGCAATGGGAAAAGTGGGTGCGATTATTGGGACAATTGGGTTTTTATGGGCATCAAAGAAACGTCCATCAAAGAAACGTCCAGACTCGTCCGATGAACCCTATGCTGATAGGATGACATGGGCAGACTCGTCCGATGAACCCTATGCTGATAGGATGAGATGGGCATTAGTGTCGTTGGGGGTCGTGTGTCTTTTTGGTGCGGCAGTGACGTATTTCTTCGCGCGGGAAACCAGAGGTAGATCCCTAGAGGATAATGAGATCGACAATGACGATGATGGTCATGTGGAATTGTCTGCCTCCCGGTTCGTGCCTCCAAATCAGGTCCAGCCTCGAGCAAGTCCTCCTCTTAGCTAACCGTGCTGCAAGTGCCTAGATAAATACATGGTGGGTATTAATATTTTTGTAAACTAGTATTATAGAAAAAAAGTGTTTATATGCTAAGTTTTTAAAATATTAAAGAAAAATATTGTAAAATCATGTTATTTTATTAAAATATTATAGAAAAAGCATAAATAATATTATTTTTATTTTGAAAAAAATTTATTTTAATATTTTTTTAATAAAAATTTAATGAAATCATAATGTTTTTAGTTTACCCATATTGCATCTTAATTAATTCAAAATCGAGTCACGTTGTATCTTATATAAAAGAAACTTTCTCAACATTTATTTCTTTATTCATAATACTTGAAATTTTATTTAAGAAAAACTGAACTCTTTTCATTCAAATTAATAAGTTGTTAATAAAAATTTAACTAATAAATACAAATGTACGACATTCATATGCTACGTACTAATCTTTGTTTACTTCCTTAATCTCTGTGCTTTATTTATTTTATTGATTCCTTATTTTTCTTTTATTTTGTTATTGAGTTGTAATAGAATCTAATTCTAAATTATCAATATGTTGATCAAAGGATGATTTTATCTTCATCGTATTTGGAACACAGTTGCTCTAGAAAAGACATTTTTTTTTATAGGGTTTGGTTCAATCATTAAAAATATAATATAAATACAATCGATTCAATTGATTTTTGCATTTTGTATGCATGTATGTTTAAACTTGTTCACCTTTAATTTTAGACAAAAAATAATAATTTTTTAATAAATATGTTATACAGTGTATTAAACCGAGTGTATATCAATTGCTATTCAAAAAAATTTAATCATCGTCCAAATTTTTAGATCTCTTTTTTATGAAAATTTGCCCTTACTTTTCAAAATTAAAAAAATTAAAATTGGACATTTAAATCTTCTTTTAAATCTACTATTTCAACTTTTTTTAATGAATTATTACAGCTAAAATTAATAATTATCAAAAGAATAAATTCATATTTTTTAGTTTACTATTAATTAAAAAATTTATAATAAATAAACACGCCTAACCAAATTTAATACACAAGTGCATAAAACGCACCTTGAGATCTAGTACTACACTAAAATGCAAGAGAAGTTTTTTTCTTTAAGAAAAAAAGTTAGAACTTTTTCTTATACCACCAAAAAAAAA